TTCATATAAATGGAATCATACAATATGTGGGCTTTTGTGTCTGGCTTCTTTCATTTAGCATGTTTTCAAGGTTCATCCATGTTGTACTTCATTCCTTTTGATGGCTGAGTAATATTCTGTTGTATGGATCCGACACATTTTCTCTGTGTGTCCATCAGTTGATAGGAATTTGGATTGTTTCTACCTTCCTGCCATAATGCTGCTATATGCATTCATGTACAAGTTTCTGTATGGATATATTTCACTTCTCTTGGTATATATGCCTAAGATTAGAATTTCTGGGACATGTGATAATTCTAAATATAACTTTTTGAGGAACTGCCATGCTGTTTTCCACAACAGCTGCACCGTTTTACATTCCTACCAGTAATGCATAGAGGTTTCAGTTTCTCCATATCCTTACCAACACTTATTTTCTGATTTTTTTTTTATTGTAGCCATCTTAGTGGGTATGAAATGACATCTCATTGTGGTTTCAATTTGCATTTCCCTAATGACTAAGGATGTTAAGTACCTTTTCGTGTGCTTTTTGGCCAATAATACAGTTTCACCGCGATCTGAATAATCGCCTGCGCTCTATCCCAGCATTCATGTACAATGTTCCTGTATGGACTACTTATTGATTATCAAGACTTTGGCAGTACCCCTCCGTTCTTCGACATGGATTAAACAGACAGATTTTATCTCTGAATGGCCATTGGGTATACCGATATTAGTCCACTTCTAGTTAGACAGCTTTATTTTTAGAGGAACTGGCCTGCTCATTTTCCGCACATATCCTACACTGCTAACTCTATAGAGATTACTACAGTAAGTGCATAGAGGTTCCCTTCTTCCCATAATCTGCTATTACTCAATTTACCTATTCGATATTTCTATTGAGTCAGAGCCATCTAGTGAGGGTAGAAATGAATCATCTCCTATGGGATAGCTCACCTTTGCACGATTGCTTGGTCCTGATAATAGTCACTGGACTAAGGATAAATAGAGTAATAAAGTAACAGAACAAAACACCACAGCAGATTCAGTCCAATGGTCTTTATGCGTGTGGATTTGGTTCCATCATTTTTTATCTATTACCTGTTCTTATTTCATTCAAGTTCTTGTCTTCGCAACTCTTATGACACCGCGCAAACGGCCCCCTCTATTTGTCCCGAATCACAAGGCTGTATGGGACCATGGCTACATACTATACATATCCATATAACCTCACCAACAGTAATGGCTCAAGATCCTACCTCAGCTCGCCAAGTACGACGCTGACTACGCAGGTGCAGCAGCGTAATTTCTATTTTTCGAAAGGTGTAAGAGATTCATTCACTCTACTCTTTTTACCGAGCTGGTCGTCCAATACTCGCTCATAACAGTATACCCCCATCCCTCCGGCACCCGAAATCACTTCAAAGAACAGAAGATTCTGTAATATTCACTCAAGCGGTTTCTAAACATATATAATCCTAGCTTCTAAGGTATCCAAAAGGGAGAGTTAGGATTTACGTGATAACCCATTTTGCCCATCGCCTTTGTGGCCAGTTCCGAAATATGTATGAAATTCATATAAATAATTATCCAAAATCTAATATATATTTTATAAATATTTCTTCTACTCGGAAGAGGAAATATCTACATAAATCTACAAAGCTTAACCCTAGAGGTATACGTCAAATAAAACACTAGCCCATCCTTTACCCTTTTTTTTAATCTGTTCTTTTCTTTTTAAACTATCTTTCCCCTCTCCGCCCCTTTGCCCATTTAATTGGTGTATATTTTTTATTATGAGTGTAGGCTTTTGTATATTAGTGATACAGTACTCATCAGATACATGTACTGCAATTTCTCCCTTCTTTCACGGTTACTTTTCAACTTCTGTAGTATCGCCTTGCACATCAACAGGATCATTTAGAAGTCTGATTTTATTTGTTTGTTTTTGTAATATTAAAATTTGGATTCTGCTCTATAAAAAAAAGAATCGTTCAGGCGCAGTGGCTCACGTGGTTTGTGGGGCTGAGGTGGGAGGATAGCTTGAGGCCAGGAATTTAAAACTAGCCTGTGTAATATAGTGAGACCTCCTTCAACAAAAAAAAATATTTTTGAAAGACTTAACTGGGTGTGGTACTGTGCACCTGTAGTCCCAGCTTACTCAGGAAGGCTGAGGCAAACAATTCGCTTGACCCAGGATTTACGGCTGCAGTGCTATGACTGAAGCCATTGCACTCCAAGCCTGAGGACAGCTGGCCAAAAGCACACGAAAGGTACTTAACACCTTAGTCATTTAGAGGAAATGCAAATTGAACCACCACAAGTGAATGTCACTTCATACCACTAAGAGTGGCTACAATAAAAAAAATCAGAAAAATAAGTGTTTGGTAATGGATAGTGGAGAAACGAAACCTCTATCATTTACTGGTAGTGAATGTAAAATGGGTGTAGCTGTTGTGGAAACAGCATGGTCAAGTTCCTCAAAAAGTATACTTAGAATTATCGTATGTCCCAGAAATTCTAAGCCTATGGCATAATAGCCAACGAGAAGGAAATATATCCATACAGAAACTTGTACATGAATGCATATAGCAGGCATTATGGCAGGAAGGTAAAACATCCAAATTCCTACAACTGATGGACACACAGAGAAAATGTGTCGATCCACATACAACAGAATTACCAGCCATCAAAAGGAATGAAGTACAACATGATAACCTTGAAAACATGCTAATGAAAGAAGCCCAGAACACAAAAGCCCACATATTGATATTCCATTTATATGTAAATTCTAGAATGAGTAAATCACACAGACAAAAGCAAATTAATGGTGCCAGGGTGTGGGGGAAGTGTCTTGGGAGGACATTTAATAGTTACAGGGGTTCTGGAGTGAGAAAGTTTTTTGAAACTAGAAAAAAAATAGTAGTTGCACAACATTGGTGAATATACTGAATCCAGCCAATTTTACAGCTTTAACAATGGTACATCCTATATTATAGTTGACTTTGACTTCAATCAAAAAAAAGCTCAATGTCACTGAAGGAAAAAAGTAGACCGTATTCTAGATCAGGGCTTCTCAACCACTGGACATCTTGGCCAGCTTTTTGTTGGAGGGATTGTCCAGTGCATCTGAGAGTTGAGCAGCAGCCTTGCCTCTAAACTCACAATGCCAGTAAGCCAACTCCCTCAATCACGATATCAAAAAACTCCCAGATCAGTGCGAACGACCAAAAGTCCTTCAAGAAACAAAATCAACCTACCCCAACTGAGAACCAATGGTCCCAGATTAAAAGAGACTAAAGATGTGACAATCAAATGCCAATGTGTGAACTAGGTTAGGGTGTCAGGGAAGACAAAAAAGTAAAACAAAATAAAGAAAAATGCCAGAACTGAAGTGGAATGTTTATATTTCCAACACTTCTTTCCCAGGACCACTTGACCTCCCGAATGCCTGGTAGAAATATAATGGATAGACCTTTTTAGAAAATCAACCTGAACACAGACGTCCACACAAATATTTAGCCTTTAGACTCATTAATCGCACATTCAGAAAGTTGTAAGCAAAAACCAAAAGTATGGAAAAGCGTTTTTACCATGGGTATTGTTTACTGCCACATATATTGGAAACAAAGAACAAACACTCCAAATTAGTTGTGGTTGGGCAGTCAAGCCACAATCATCAGATGGGATATTACACAGCCCAATAAAAACTATTTACAAACGTCTGATGACTTGTAAATAAATATGTTAGCAGCTGGGAGAAAGGCAGGAATATGGCATTATATGTATGTCTGCAGGATCACAGCCCATGAAAATAAACAGGACAGAAAAAGTGAAAGGTGCTTACCAAAAATACAAAAGCTGGTGTGTCTAAATAGTGGGATAGATCAGCTAATTATTTCTTCTAATTTTATGGCTTATGTTATGCATGTTTTAAAAACATATATATATGTATTATATTCTGAAAAAGAAATTTTTTCATTATTTAAGTTGTATCTTTTCATCATAAGAAATCAGAAAGATAAAAAAAAAAAAAGC